AAAAAAATCCCAGAACCTTAGAACATCATGAGCTGTTTGATGATTCAAAAAAATGTTTTCACAATAAAACCTACTTCAAAAATATCAGAGGTCGCGTAGGAATGGGACAGCCCTTGGATAGAGGTTCTTTCTGTTCCAAATGATGCCTCAAATACTAAAGTATTGGTAAGTTGGATCCCTGCTAAAATCTTTGAAATTCTTGTCCTCCATGATGTATTTCAGGTTTGTTGGTGGCACACTAAACGTTTGCTACAATGCAGTGGATCGTCACGCGGAAAGCGACTACAAGGACAACGTGGCCATTTTCCACGAAAGCCCAGTAACTGGAAAAAGCTCTCAACTCACATGGGCTGAACTGAAGGACCAAGTATGCATATAATTAAGTAACATGTGACCTACTTGTACAGTGCGCTACTCAGTGTTCCCCAGCGGTCCGCAGAAGTTTTTTTGTCGGTCCAAAGGAAATTTTCTTGAACCATAGATTTATAAAAAGTAGCAGCAGTCTTATTTTCAGCTGACATTTTGGGAAGACTAATGACAGTTGAAAATATCTGATGAAAACTAAAAGGTTGCTTTTCTCCTAATAACAACTACTACTACAATTTGCATGTGCTGAAATGAGTTATTTTAATTTTTCATTCCGCAAACCTTTCTTCAAGCCCATGTTTCAAATTTTTTGAGGACATTCCACTATAGCTGATTAATTGGTTCTTAACTTGAGTTTTGCAAAAATACAAAAACTTTTTCAATACCTGCCTTTCAAGCAAAACTTTCTTGAGTCTGGGAATTTTTTTTATTTGCTTCTCTTCATGAATTGTTTACGAAATTTGCTGGTCCAACAGAACAAAAAGGTTGAGGAACGCTGCTTTACTGTATATACTGACTTTCTGTGATTGCTTAACAAAAATGGGCAAAAGTCCACATTTCAGCTAATGGTTAGAAAACTAATAATTTTATACTGGCCAGTCTTCTACATTTTAAGCACCCTTGCTGTAACATGAGTCCTGGACAATAACCCTGGCTTTATAGCTTGAAAGCTTTCATTCATTCATCATGCAGTTAATTTAAAAACTATATAAAAATTCAAAAGAAATCCCATAACTTTAGAACACTGGGTTAAGGCTATTTATCTAATTATTTGTTTTCCTTTTACAATCACAGGTACTCCAAAAATATCTTAGGTTGCATCACCCTTGTATACAGTGAGACCCCCAGATGCAAACTCAATTGGTGCTTCAAGAGTGTCCCTAGGTCAAAATGTCCCTAAGTCAAGTCTTGTTTTCCCATAGACTTACATTACATAATTTTTAATTGGTGTTTTATGGAAGAAATATTCTTCAGAATTCCCTGAAAAAAAAGTTTGCCACTTGAATTTCATTCCATGAAAATCTTTTCAACTCAACAAGAACATTTGTAGCATTGAATACTGTATCTCTCCACAGTAAATTGAAATGTTGGCATCTGTAAAAATAAAATTCAAGTCACAAAGAGAGAAGGAAGTCCCTCTATACTATAGGTTTTTATTAATTTGCTTAATGGGTGAGAAAATGATGGGAGAAATGACAAAGAATTTTTCTTGCATGAATCTTTGGGTTGGAAATATCTGTTTCTTGCAATTAAGCCTAATAAAAGTCAATGTNTACTGTACAGTATATTGATTCTTGTTGCAATTTTTCCCTGACCATGACAGGTATCCCGTTTTGCCGGCGTTCTCACGGGCCTCGGAACCACAAAGGGCGACCGTGTCATCATCTACATGCCCATGATCCCCGAAGCCGTGATCGCCATGCTGGCTTGTGCCCGGATCGGCGCCGTGCATTCCGTCGTATTCGGCGGCTACTCTGCCCGAGAACTCGCCGTGAGACTCGAGCACGCCAAGCCCAAGATCATAGTCGGCGTGAACGCGAGTGTGGAACGGAACAAGATCCTCAACTTCAAGAGAGTCGTCGACGAGGCCATCGGGTTGTGTCCCGGATGCGATATCAAACACGCTGTGATTTTCAACAGACCCCAGTTTGAGCCCGCGGAAATGATGAATGGCAGGGACGTGGACTGGGACCGAGGCATGGAGAGTGCCGTGTCGCACCCGTGCGTCCCCGTGGATGCGAATGACCCGCTGTACGTGTTGTACACCTCGGGGACGACTGGGCAGCCCAAGGGCATCGTGAGGCCGTCTGGGGGCCATGCTGTGGTACTGCCGTGGACCATGGACAAAGTATATGGTATGTATGTATGTATGCATACCATGTAGGGCTGGGTCCGCATATAGATGAGTGAAAATGAACTGGAATGGCTTCAGGGTCATTCATGTCATGTAAAACATGATCTCCCGTGAGTCTTAATTTAAAAAATACAGTATCTATGTACAGTATTACAGTAATTGGTTTTGCAGTGAGACCCTGAGATGAGGACATAATAATTGGTGCATCAAGAGTGTCCCTAAGTTGAGTCATTTTCCCTTAAACTTACATTATATACTTTTTAATTGGTGTTTTATGGACAAAAAACTCATCATGCTGTAATTCCATTAAAAAAATTTTCTCCCAATTGAATTGATTCAATCAATATCTTTCAACACAATATGTACATTTGTAGAAATGAATACTGATACCTCTAAACAGTGCAAAGAAACGTTGGCATTCTCCGTAAAAAAAAACAGTCAGGTGAGAAAGAGAGAAGGAAGTCCCTCTATGTTGGAGTTGCTTTTTTAAAATTAGCTGAATGGATGGTAAATTAATGAGAGAAATGCCAAAGAACTTTTCTTACATCAATTTTAGGGTTGGATGTATCTGTTTCTTGTAATTTGGCCTGAAACTTTTTTGCAATTTTATCACAACAATGTCCATATGTTGAGTCAGTGTCCACATGTCAGGCCTTGTTTATTAATTTCTTATGGGGAAAATAGGTGTATCTTTGTCAAATTGTCTGCATGTGGGGGTCTCACTGTATATCAATACATTATGTAGGGACACACAAAAAACAGAATAAATAATAACCCTTGAAAACCTGTGTACAGTATTTTAGGCAGTTTCTAAAGTTTAAAAAAATTGTTAATTTTATAAAATCAAAGCCCAGTAGCATAATCCTAAAAATGTTGAGCTCTCTATACCTTCTGAATTGATGACCTTTTTCCAACATAGAAACTCAAAACTTGCTAAAATGTATCATGTGTAATTTTTGGTTGGTCGTGTCACCTCGATTAAATACGATTTTCCTATGCTGAGATATTTGACGAAAGGGACTCTGTTGAATGTTGTGACTTATTCTCAAGAAATACAGGATGTGCATTTGACTTTATTCCGCAGGCATGAAACCTCAGGAGGTGTGGTGGGCCGCGTCTGACCTCGGCTGGGTCGTCGGTCACAGTTTCATATGCTACGGCCCTCTTTTAGCCGGGATCTCAACGATAATCTACGAGGGCAAACCCGTGGGAACCCCGGACGCGTCCCAGTTCTTCCGCGTCATCCAGGACAGGCAAGTGAACGGGATGTTCACTGCTCCCACCGCACTGAGAGCCATCAAGGCTGAAGACCCCCAGGGTCGACTCTCGGCCAAGTTCTCGCGGGAAAGCCTGAGATACGTTTTCGTGGCCGGGGAACACTGCGATTATGAAACCCGGGAATGGGCTCAGAAGGAATTCAAGGTGCCCGTGTTGGATAATTGGTGGCAAACGGAAACTGGACACCCCATCACGGCGACTTGTGTGGGGTTCAATAACAGTTTGAATCCTCCCAAGGATGTGTCGGGCATGCCGCTCCCGGGATACGATGGTGAGTGATGATGATGAAGGAGTCTCTTTTCAATCAATCTGCCTCTTATTATTGTGCTTTCCTGTATATACACGCTGCAGTTCAGTGGTGCCACGGTTGATATGGACGAATATTTGCCATTGCCGCTTCCTAAAATTCTGAATGTATAATTAATATTAATTCAATGTATGACAAAACGGCATCACTTGTAAGATGTAATTTTGTTCCATGCGTCAAAAATGGAAGCCAATTCTGCTGACATTGCACCTGAATTTCGTTCGATTCGTAGGCGTTGATTGATTCATGTGATTCGTGATCCAAACAAACCCTTGACCAAACATTTTTAAGCTTTCAATTCGAGAAAATGCCCAATAAGAGCTCTTCTTTGTTCCGTTGACAGGGAGAACCAGCTTTTTTCTGCCGTGAGATTTTTGAGTGCTACTCCATTTTATACAAGATGTGTTCCTCGTAGGACAACATTTGACGGGAACTGTGGCATTTATTGTAGCCATTTATGAAATTCCTTCTTCTGTGCGTGTGTGGTTTCAGAAGTGATGTAACTAATATATTGACATTCGGAATGGATTAAAGGTATAAATTACAGTGACAGTGTTAATTCCCGTATCAAGTCTGTTTATCTGAGGAGTGTACTGTGTATAGAAACACGCATGAGTATATTGTAATGCGACGTCATATATATATCATGCGGAACAGCCATCAATTCCTTTAACCATGGCCGAAAATAAATCTGTTGACTTGTTGAACTTCAATATGCTGGTCAAACGTATCAGTGACCCGCCAAAAATTCGAGTGAGGGAAACAACTTTTTTGTTGGGGAAGAAAAAATGTAAAAACAGAAAAATGTAATTCCTGGTGATATTCTGGGTCTTAAATTGCCTCATGAATGTGTTGAGGAGATGCTGAATGTTGAGAGAAGAGTTGATTTGCCCGTAATTTATTATCTTTAACCCAAAACTCGTCACGTTAAATTTTTCTTGCTTTTCTCTTTCCAGTGGTAATAACGGCATAACTGCCAAAATGTCTCTTAATACAGTTGTACCGCTCTAAGTTGAATATCAAGGGACCAGCAGAAAATTCGACTTAGGGAGGTTTCCACTTAGAGAGGTTTGCAATTACTGTACAGAGGTTTGAGCTATACACAACATATAGCTCTTTTGTTCTGAAAAACATAAAAAAGCCCAAAATTGTAAATGGTGTTATTCTGGGGCTTAAATTGCATCTTGAATGATTTGAAAGGATGCTGAACTTGTAGGCAGGGGTTCATT